TCTTCGCGTAAACCGTCTCGTCCGCTGGTATCTTGATTATCTAAATTAATAACTGGTAAATCATGTACTCAAATATTTACCGTTTTAACTCAAATATTTACCGTTGAAGGATGATTTGAATCGTTCCCACTAATCGAGACAGTTGGCTAAAGTGATTTCACTTTGTTTTTATATCAACATATGTCAACCGGTTCCACATGGTTCCACATTGTTTTGTATACTCTTTTGTATACTCTTTGTTTGGGTTCACTTTTTTGAGTCTGTAAATATATTGAGTCTGCTATCCCTCATTCATCCGCCTTCGTTTTTAAATAAATTTTTAAAAAAAATATATAAATATCATTTCATGAAGAAAACCTCGAAAAAACAAAGCTGATCCGAGGGTTGAGGTTCGATTTTGGCAAAGTTAGTTTTTTTAAAAATTCTTACTAAAAAACAATTTTATTGAATTCTAGGGTAATTTTTAACGCTGATTCGAAAAACATGGTTTCAGCACAGGTTTCTATACAAAAAACAAATAAAGTCCATCTTTTTGAAATTTGGAGCCAGAAGCATCTCAGTAAAAAGGCTGCAAAAACTTTGAAAGTTCGAAAAAGAAAATCGAAAAATGGCCTTTTCCATGCAATTCGCTGGATAATTAGCTTTCAATTGAGCTATTACACAATCAAATGGGATAAGTTTAAGACCCTCTTCCAAGAAATCGGCGGGAACTTTCTCTGGAACCTAATATTTGTATCAAATCATCAAAAAACAGCTAATTTTTGGAAACAATTCATGTTTTTAGAAACAACAACAATGTTTAGGAATACCACTCACTTTGGCAATAAAGGTTTTGATTGGACTACCTGCTCTCGTTTCAATGCTTCTAGCATTTGAAAATCCTCGTTTATTTTTGTTAACCTTAACAGGATTTTATCGTTGGGATGAAAGTACTCAAAAAAGATGGCTTCATTGAGTACTACGCCTCACGAAATGACACAGTTTGATCATGTCTGGATACAGCAAAGTTGCCCACCATTATCTTACTTGCAGTAACACGATTTTTCTCAGCCAGCACCAACTCTTTAAACAGATCATCGTTTTCGGCATCATCAGAGTATTAAAACTGTGTAAGGGAGTATCAAATCTGTGTAGACGTATAAAACGAGGGGGTATTAATCGCGGTCGGGTAACCATAAAAATTTTTTTACGGCAACCAATTGTTTTTTATTTTAATATCGCTGATTCTATTATAAAAAGCATAAAAATCACCCGGCTAGAGTGATTTGATGGGTTTGATACCAAAATCCTGCTGATCGAATGTAAACTAACGGTTTGACTACGGTACTTTTCTCAAACCCATCAACTCACTCTAGCCGGGTGATTTTTATTCTTTTTATAATAAAATCAGAGATATTAAAATAAAAAACAAGTGGTTGCCGTAAAAAAATTTTTATGGTCACCCGGCCGCGATTCATACGCCCCCCCCCCGCCCGCCCCCGCCCCCCGAAAAATGGGGTGCGAACTTAGCAATTAAGGCTGTCCCCCACAATCGCACTCGATCTGGTGCACCTCATTTTGATTTTGATTAGGAAAATCCGGTCGATACCTTTCAAATGTCAATGTACAAGAATCTGATTTCTTTTCGCTTTTTGCATTTTGTGTTTTTACCCCTCACGTTGTCTTTGTGTCCCTCCATGTGCCTGAATTCGTTTTTTCTCTTCTTTTTTTTAGTTTCGCCTGTATTGCACTCCTAAAAACCGCCTTTATTCTCATCACTTTTTTTTCGTTCCGATTAGTTTTGTGTGGAGAGGGAAAGATGCAGGAAAGTGATGAGAATAAGGGCGGTTTTAGGAGAGCAATAAAGGCGAATTCTTAATAGTGCCTCACTACATGTTTCGCCTTAATTTTTTACCTTTTCCAGAGATGACGGAACAGCTTGGCAAGCAACAACGCTCAATCATGAGGGGGCATCAGTTGGAGACAGACGATCAGAATTTGGATGCAAGAGTCTACAGAGCCGGTCAACTCGAGGCGAACACCAACGGAGGTGACTCAATCATGGATATGGAGGTATTTTGCCTTTATTGTACGCCTTAATTACCGTATTCTCTCTAATAGTAGTGCACCCTGAGCCTTACTTAAATTCCTGTAAATCTCGAAAAGCGCTTATCAGAACTTATCGATGTGGGGTCGGAAAATGTAGCTGACGATCAGATCTAGCGGGGGATTAGAGTGTTGAGCTTTTGCGAAAACTTGGAAACCGTAAAATAGTCATCAGCGGGGTGCACTACTATTAGAGAAAATACGGTATATGCCTTAATTTTCGTTTTCTAGGTACGGGCTGTTGATTTGACTGATGTGGCCTGCAGAAATCGTGGAATGCCAATGACTGATCTCTTGGACGCGTTGCGTTGACACAGCCGACACGACACGGGCCAAAGACGGGCTCCATCAATGACTTCTGCACCTCGAAAAGAGTCAACACGTCAAGGAGACCCGTTACAGCCAAGACAAGGCCAATCCGAAAAATGTTACCCCAAACAATTAACTATAGATAACTATAGATTAGGGCTTTTTATCAGCCTTTATACGAGTGGGATAAAGGCTGATAGATTAGGGTTTCTATCAGCCCGGCGAAGGCCAAGGCCCGCCGGCCTTTGCCCACCCGCCCATTTTTGCCGCTCCCAGATAGGGGGTTCTAGGCCGGCGCAACCTCCGGTGGTAAGCGCGTTATATATAAAAAAAAAACTTTTTTGAGGGCCCGTCTTAGGGCCCAAAACCCGGGATAAAGGCTGATAAAAAAGGGGTTTTATAGTCCGACGAAAGGAGAACAAAAGTCAATGACGCTGCCGTCGACAAGTGCGCAAGAAAACACATCACAATGGCGTTCATATGGTTAAATGACTTTATGGTCGGCCTTAATTGTTGAGTATTTAGGAATCGAGCACGTCTTTTTAGCACGCGGTGGCTCGTATCAGAAGTGCGAAGAGCTGCTGAAAGAAGGCTTCACTGCCCATCAAGTCGAAATGATTGCGCCAAAGGTATCCCTTTACAGACCTTACACTCAATTACACTGCCTTAATTACAGATATGGGACCAACCCCGACACGCCCTCATGCGCATCGCAAACCACTACAAGCACGCTTTTGAGGAGATTGGACGCAATTTCTGGCTCATCCACGGCACGAAAAGCAGTGGGAAAACGACCTTCGCAAAATTCTGCATGTCAACGGGTTGGTCTTTTGATCTTCTGCCTTATTTATATGACTTAATTGAATTTATTTGCCTTAATTACATGCTGAAATATATGCCTTGCTTTTAGGAGCGCAAGTATCATATTGCCTCGTGGCGCACGGCACTTTTCAAACATATCGCGATGAGGAGGTCCTCATTTTCGACGAGGCCGCCCGGTTTGTGCCGAGAGGAGAAGGAGAAACGAGCAAGAAGGGCCGAAGCGAACCGTTATGGCAACTCGAGAACTTCCTTAAACTCGCCAGCGACGACCCCACCGAGTTAGTGCCTTTATTTGGTAGCCTTAATTATACAATTTTTTGTTTAGTTTAAACGTCAAGTTTGCGAAAGCGCCGTGCAAGGCTACTCAGGTGGTCGTGATCTGCAACGAAGACCCCTTCGAAGAATTTACACGCAAAGAGGACGGCACGTTTGAGGTGGACGAATGGGGCTGCCCTCGTCGCTCATATTTTATAATAAAATTATGAAATATGAGAATTCTTGAAACTTCACAATGACTCGACCTCTAGATCTTCATTTATCGGTCTTTTCAGACTAAATTCACAGAATTTCTTCTAGATTTTTCCGAAAACATTTATACCTAAAATTCTAGACCTCAAATTGTTCTGAAACTTAAAGAAGCATAAAAAATGAGGTTATCTCGTATTAATTAAATCTCCTTTCGTCAAAGTTTATAAATTTTTGAATTTTATTGATTCGATTTGGTCTGACAAGGTCCTTGATATCAAGGTATATATAGCGCATATATCAGGTCTGATATATATCAGACCTTAGTATTAAGGTCTGATATCTGGGTTTATAGCGCATAAAACCTCCCCCCAAGATGACAACAGGTTCTTCTAACTTTATGTTCTTACACATGAGTATACAAGATAAATTGTACTTTTTTATAAACAAATTTAATGTGGGTCATTTTAAAACCAAGCTCAAGTCGATCTGGGAGTCGAGTTATAGAGTAATATAGAAAAGTGCCATTGTGACTATAGAAAAACGGCACTTTGGCGCACTACTTTTCAAGGGTGTTTTTCTCTATGTTTTTATTAATGAGTATACAAAACAAATTGCACTTTTCTCTAGTCAGATTTAATGAATTCTTTAACTGGTAAGCTTCTTTGGAGTTTTGACATGACGTTAGAACTGTCTATATCTCGACTTATGGTTGGTCTTAAAGCAATTTCGCTTAAGAAAATTTAAATTTGTTTTGTACACTAACTTGTAAGATTGGAGGGCTAATAATAGCGCTCTCCCGGCCAAGTGCTGCAATTTTGTTATTCAGTTTTGACCGGATTTCGATTCCGAATTCGGAATTTTCGAGCATTTTAAAAGGTACGAAGAGTTGCTTGTGTTGCTATGCTTATGTTGCTATGTACGAAGAGTTGCTATGCTTGTGAATTTACCAGATTATTTATAATCTTATTGAATTTCCATTTATTGATTCTCAGTTAATTCATATTCTAATTTTAAAATCTCAAACAAATTCTCGTTATTGATTCGACGTAATCCTCATTCAATCATTGAAGATGTTTTATCGGTTTCTGGTCGATTATGATGATACTTTATTCAGATAATAAAGTGAAACCCAATAAATCATAGAGAAATGCAAATCGGATCTAAATGTAGAGACAAAAGAAAGGTACTAAGATACAAGATAGAGTGAAAATGAAAATAATAAGATTACCTACGATTGAGAGGGAAATGGTTGCGGGTATCGATTTATGCAAATTTATGCAATCTCTTAATTATCAATTTATTGTTATTGAAAGTTATTGTTGAATCTCTGTTTCCTGGATGGGCTCGATAGGAGTGATGCGAAGAGTGAACTTCTCTTCTCTAAAACTCGTTCACATTCAAAAGAATACTCCATTTTTTTATTGTTAGTAGTTATTGTTTATTAATGGTCAACTCGTAAACAAACTCGGGTACAAGGGTGAGGAAACACTTCATGGCTTGGTCTTCATTTTCACTTTGTCTCCTGTACTTGATCGCGATCAAAGGATTTGGCTGTGTTGGATCAGCTAACTGAAATAGTCTTATTTCGAACTCTGGTCTCGTGTTATTAATAATTTTTATCTAATAACAGCTTTAAACAGGATTTTTTACCTCTTCCAGAAGACTCTTTTTAGCGTTATAGTTGTAGAATGAGATCTGAAGCTTTCGCCCGGAAACCGAGTTGATGCGACACCAGTTCTAAAATAACAATCATTTCTGAAACCTGACCAAAACCAACTTTGATTGGATTTTTATTAAAATCGCTCAACCAGGCGCGAATGCCCTTCTTGTGGGTTCAATGATTTCCAGTTTCACCAAAACGTCGTCCCTCCCCGGAACTTGCAGGTCGCCGTCGATCAGATTTTGATCAAAAGCTATTCCTAAACTTTTTTTGAATAGATACCGTAATAATTCTGGTAGAAGATCATGGTCTTCTATTGGTGACGGATTTTTATTAGAATTATTATGGTAGCTTTTTTCGACGTTCAAAGATTCCAATTAATGACGACAATAAAACTTACCGGCAAATTTGAGCAGTCCAACCGTCTCATCCGGGTATCGATCGGCATTCTCTTTGAGTTCCCGAGAACCGTGACAGGGACGCTCACTGGTGAACCACGGATTCCAGGTGATGCTAAAGGGCAAATTCGTCTCTTTAGTGGTTTGGTTTTGTAAATAACTTTAGAAAGATTCTCCGCGACTCACTTTTCCTTGGTTTCCTTGGTTTCCTTGGCTAAGTCCATACGAAGCCAGAAAAGTTTTATGAAATCGCGGCTTTGTTTCCAGGTTGCTCTAATCTCGAACCACGGAAACCAATTCATTTCTGGCTTCTAAAATTTTAATATTTTCAAAAGTTCAACATCAATCTACCTTTGTATATTCATGAAGAACTCTTTGAGCTTCATCGCTTCCAATGTCAATGTAGAAATGTGTTGTTTTTCCAGCGCGGATCGTAGTAGACCACTGAAAATGGTGCTTCACTTTCAACATGTTCATCTTTGCGAGTGTAACTTTTTTATAATAGGAAAGCTTACGCCTTTTTTTCTCTTGAGGATCCACGATTTTTTTCTTCCTCTTTAGTTCTTTCAGCAATTCTTCTTCTTTCAGCAATTCTTCTTTTTGCAAGAAAAAGCACCAGTGAGCATCCACTTAACGAACTCAATCTCAATCTCCCTGTTTGCTCATGTTTGTCAGAGCAAAAAGCACATAATGATGAACAATTCGGAGTTCTAAACACTTCTCTATACTCTATACTTTGCATTCTGTCTTATTCAAGTATTTTTCCGGTATGTCTCCGTGAGCCGACAGTTTCAATTATAAAGTAATATCATCAGCTCACCAGGCCCTTCTAAAACTCCGGAGAAAGCTTTGCGAAAGTCGAGATGTAGTTTGTCTGGAGACTCAAGACACTTAAGATAAGACTTACGAAGTGGTTTGAAGCCTAAATGAGTTGTGAAAAAGCTGGCAAGTTTGCCATTTACCGAGGTCTTTTTTCCTTAACCAGTATTTGTCTCTTCTTCGAGTAGCCCCGATGACCTTGTTTTTGTTTGAGGCGCCCTTTCGTTACGTGGATTTGTGGATTGAACGTTTCCACCGGAGGCAGAGCTGCTTGACGCAGATCCTGAACGTTACTGGGTGTTTAGGTTGATCAAGGCTAATCCTGAAACTTTCTATAGTCACAAAGTCATATCTTTTTGCTGAAAACTTGCTCGCTGAGAGCCACTGCTAGCTTGGTAAGCTGGGACTACATCAAAAATTAACATACAACTAACAATCAGCGATTTTCCGTATTATGTGAAGTTTGAAGGCAAGTCTGGCGTCTTGCCACCAAATGAATTTTCCTTTAAATTTTTGCCCAATAAAATTTCATCTAGGGCATGAATGCCCTAGACGAATCATGCCAAGGTTGACGAGCTGAGAATTTACTTGTAATTTCAAATGCGACGCACCGGATAATGAGAGTTATAAGAGATGAAACGTTCTTCTTCGCCATCATCTTCATTTTGCACGGGTACCGATGGAGGAGTAATCTATACGCACGCTTTTAAAGGTCAACAAGAATTGAATGACTCACATTATTTGAATTTTTGTCTACATTTTTCTCGATTTTCTCCATCTGAAATGGATATCTGAATGGGTCGTGTACCTGAAAAATGTGACGGCTTTATACATAAAAAAGTGAGTGATGTTTAAGAGTAGGTATGAAAAGGTATGAAAGGTATGAAAATGAGTATGAAATTGGGCAATTTAAGGTATGAAAATACAGAAGGAAATTTAAAGGAAATTCATTCTCATGGTCGATTTTATATGATGGACATGGCCTTGTTGTAAAGGCCACTTTAAGTCGGTGACTTTCCTTTGTCAAAACGACTAAGATAGACAAATAAATAAAAATTCAAACAAAAATGAATCACCAAAAAAACCAAAAAAAACAAAGATATTCAACTATAAACTGCTGCAAACCCAAAGATATTAGCTAGAAAGCTAGCTAGATTTCTAGCTAGATTTAGCTAGAAATTGGTTGTCAGGTTAGGTTGTAAAATTGAAATGCAAATTTGGAGTTAATTTAAAATCTAGGAATCTAGGATCTAGGAATTTATTTTCCAATAAAATAGGTGTTGTCGTTTGGCTGGAGTCGGTGTCAATCTGTGTGCATCAATCTGCGTTAATGTGCTGTCAATCACTTACTATTCTCTCGGTGTATACTGATAAGGTGTCTGAAATCTGAAAGGTTTCTCAATTTCTGTTGTCTCGTTTTGCCCGGAGAACACTTGAGCCTACAACGGGAAAACTCTGGAAAAAAATTCAGTAATGATTGTTGTTTTAGAACTGGTGTCGCATCAACTCGGGTATCGGGCGAAAGCTTCGGATCTCATTCTACAATTCTAACGCTAAAAAGAGTCTTCTGAAATAATGCTATTAAATAAACATTTTGTCCGGTTCCAAATTGGGCAAAGTTGTTCCATCAATCAGAATTGGGGAAACTATTAAGAGTTTGATTTCCTAAAGGAAAAAGTGTTGACTACAGCTTAGCCTAAGCAATTTCTGAAGTTTTACCGTATGATGTGTCATCAAACAAAAAAAAAACAATCAAACAACAAACATTTATCGTAATCACTTTGAATGATTGAGTGAGATCGATCAAGAAATTCACATTGCCATCAGTGTTGCTGATGATCGTGACCTAAAAAGCTGTATGATCTAAAGGCAATAAAAGTTAAATCTCATGTACCTCATTTGTGATGATTTGCTCTCTATGAATGGCAAACGACAGTGTTTTTTCATCTAATATAATATTTCTTACAGCTGCACTGAAAGTCAGAAGAACAATCGAAATGATTAAACGAATGATCACTTTATCATCTGCATATCTGAATCTGAATAGAATATCATCATAATCGACCAGAAACCGATAAATCATCTTCAATGATTGAATCAGGATTATGTCGAATCAATAACGAGGATTTGTTTGGGATTTTAAAATTTGTTGTGCAATCGTAGTTGACCGTTATATTCTCGTTTATGGCAAATGATCTGAAATTTTGAGATTTTCAAGTAAATAATGCTATTAAATAAACATTTTTTCCGGTTCCCAATTGGGTAAAGTTGTTCCATCAATCGGAATGGGGAAACAATTAAGACTTTGATTTCCTAAAAAAAAGCCGTGACTACAGCTTAGTCTAAGTAATTTCTAAAGTTTTACCGTATGATCCGACATCCTTCTTTTTGGCGTCTCTCCACCTAGCCTTTTCGTAAACCGGCGACGTTCCGCGGTCACATTCTGGGGTTCGCAATTTGATTTATGATCAAACAAATCAAACATTTATCGGTAATCACTTTAAAGTTTTGACTCTAAAATCTCTAAAATCGCGTAGTCGTTAATTGTTTTGCCAATAATTTGTTGAAAATCAAAGATAAACTGAAATATTGAAGTCATTCAATAGCCTTGAATCTCCTCTTGGAAACTACATAGTAAACAAACAAATAAACAAAGCTACTGAAAACTCTGTGAAATCAATAACAAAATTCTTAAAAACTTGAGTTACCCAAAAACACCAAAAATACCGTATTCTCTCTAATAGTGATTTTCTAATGATGATTTTTAAGAAATCTGTATTTCAAGAACGAATGGATCTTATTGAAAACGGTTCCAATTGAAAGTCCAAAGCTAGTAAATCAAAATAGATTCTCCAAAAATGATTTACTATCGAGAGTTTTGCCTAATCAGTCCTAAAAACATTAAAAACGCTGTGAATAAGCTGATAAATACCATTTTGTGGCTTTAACACGACGTTTAAATGCTTAAACACTAGTAAACACTAGGCTTTGAGGAGAATTCAACTTTTTCAAAACTGTTTTTAATGACTAGAAAATTAGAATAGCATCTGATTGGAAGCAATAGTGCAAAGATATAAGCAGTTGTAAGCTTTTTAAAGTAAATAAAGTAGCTTTTTAAAGTATGCGAACTTTGGCAAAAGTTAGTGATTTACTATGAGATTTACTTCCTAAAAACTCTTAATAATAAGTAATGGAAATGGATTTGAATGGATTTGCTGAATTTGCTGTTGAATGCTCTTTTCGCTTTCGGTTTCCAATCGTTCGGCTGAAATTTTGCTTGGATAGTAAATAAAATGTAAATTTTGCAGCCGCCAATGCAAAATTTTGCTTAAAAATCAATGATTTACTATCGAGCGTTAAATACACATGTTTACCATTGGAGGGATTCTCCCAAAGTGATTTACTATCGAGCGTGATTTAATATCGAGCGTGATTTACTATTGAGCGTGATTACTATTGAGCGTGATTACTATTGAGCGTGATTTACTATCGAGCGTGATTACTATTGAGCGTGATTTACTATCGAGCGTGATTTACTATTGAGCGTGATTACTATTGAGCGTGATTACTATTGAGCGTGATTTACTATTGAGCGTGATTACTATTGAGCGTGATTACTATTGAGCGTGATTTACTATCGAGCGTGATTTACTATTGAGCGTGATTACTATTGAGCGTGATTTACTATTGAGCGTGATTACTATTGAGCGTGATTACTATTGAGCGTGATTTACTATCGAGCGTGATTTACTATTGAGCGTGATTTACTGAGCGTGATTTACTATTGAGCGTGATTACTATTGAGCGTGATTTACTATTGAGCGTGATTACTATTGAGCGTGATTACTGAGCGTGATTACTATTGAGCGTGATTACTATTGAGCGTGATTTACTATCGAATGATTTATTATCGAGTGATTCACTATCGAATGTAATTTACTATCGAGTGATTTACTATTGAGACACCTATAAATTTATAGTTCTGAAATTGATCTGAAATTTGTAATTTAATTTGAAATTTGATTTGAAAGTGATTAGAAATTAATCTGAAATTGATCTGAAATTTGAAATTTGATTAGAAATTGATTTGAAATTGGTCTGAAAATTGAAATTTCATTTGAAATTTGATTAGAAATTAATCTGAAATTGGTCTGGAAATTGAAATTTGATTACTATATCTACATCATTTTCTACAGGAACCCACGTGCAATATCCTTAAGAATTCGTGCTTTAAACAATCATCAGCTGTCGGCCTTTTCATCATATCAGGCTCGAGCATCATTTTGATCAAGTCTCGGAACTCTTCACCTTGAAATACCTAGCCTTGGAAAGTAGGAATAAGCTTTTATCTCTGTCTCTTTGCGCTTAAATCGATCGCTGTTATCATTGTCCCCGTTTTTGTAAGGCAAGGAAAATGGCTGAGACTGTGAGCTTTCGGCGTTTTGATTAAGCGCCGAGGACCCAAAGTCTCATAAAACATTCTTTTAACGGAAGAAAATGAAAAATTTGTTTTATAGGGCTTTGGGTGCTGGAAGTTTAAGGCTGTAAAGATTAAGGTTTGTTTTATTTCAAAAGCAAAACGCCGAAAGCTCACAGTCTCAGCCATTTCCTTTTGCCACAAAAACGAGGGACATAACATGACAACAGCGATCAATTTAAGCGCGAAACGACAGAGATAAAACTATTTCCTACTTTCAAGGCTATTGATTTAAGCAAATTTATGCAACCGCTTAATTATCAGCTTTCGCGAGTTGACCAATAATAAACAATAACTACTAACAATCGGTTGTGTTCAAAAAAAATGGAGTATTCTTTTGAATGTGAACGAGTTTTAGAGAAGAGCAAGAGGTAAAATTTCATTCTTCACATCATCGAGGCTCACCCAGGAAACAGATTTTCAACAATATTGAATCATAGAAAGTTAATAATTAAGACGTTGCATAAATTTACATAAATTGATAACCGCAACCATTTTCCTTTCAATCGTAGGTAATCTTATTATTTGCATTTTCACTCTATCTTGTATTTTCGTACCTTTCTTTTGTCTCTACATTTATGACCCGATGTGCATTTCTCTATGATTTATTGGGTTTCACTTCATCATCTGAATATCTGAATCTGAATAGAATATCATCATAATCGACCAAAAATTGATTAAGCATCTTCAATGATTGAATCAGGATTATTTCGAATCAATAACGAGGATTTGTTTGGAGAATTTGCAAAATTCTTGTTTAATAGTTGTTATTAGATAAAAATGCAATAATGAGACGACAGACCAGAGTTTGAAATAAACATTTCTGTTAGCTGATCCAACAAAAGCCAACATTGATCGCGATCAATTACAGGAGACAAAGTTGAAAATAGACCAAGCCATGAAGTGTTTCCTCACTTATGTACGAGTTTGTTTACCGAGTTGACCATTAATAAACAATAACTACTAACAATCAAAAAAAATTGAGTATTCTTTTGAATAACGAGTTTAGCGAAGAGAAGCCTCATTGCATCACTCTATCGAGCCCATCCAGGAAACAGAGATTCAACAATAAAAAATTGATAATTAAGGGGTTACATAAATTTACATAAATCGATACCCCAACCATTTTCCTCTCAATCGTAGGTAACCGGGATTATATGCACCACTCTATCATTGTATCGTACCTTCAGGACTTAATATTAATTGTTTTAAAATTGAAAGTTATTTATCGAAAAACAATAGCTTGATGGGGATGTAGTGTTCTTTTGGCATGCACAATCACGCACCTTCTGGCAGAGGGC